TGGTTTACTTGTAGGTTTTAATATCAACATTAATAACAAAAACAAAAAAACTGTCATTATGGCCTTTTTAATCCAGGAAATAGTTATCTTTCTCAAGGGGGTTATTACTACTTGCTCATCAACAGTACATTAAACACAGCATAGAAAACATTTAATATTAAAGAAAATTCTATCAACTGTTAAAGAAACTGCTATGCCAGATTATTTCTGGGTATATTCTGGCTTACATAAATATTTTTGTTAGCCCTGTATGCAAAGCAAATAACGGGAGGGGATGAATTTTTTCTTACTAAGTATAAAGCATATGAAATGTTCCACCCTCTCCCATTCTCCCGTCACCAACTTCCAGTGCTAGGTTTAAATGAAAGCAAGTGAGTAACACTTACGTGTCACATGCTGAGCAGTGATGCGCCCGGTCAGGTTTAATCAACTGACATTTTTCACAATATCTGATAGCTAAATGAAAGAAGTAAAAGGAAGATGTTGAAGAATGCACAAGCTTTACTAATTTAACTGTAAAACTTTTTTTTTTTTTTTAATAAACAACTGTGGGTAATTTGGTGCGCTTAAAAATTTTTTTTTAATCATGGGCATGTATTACTTTTATAATTTAAACAAGAATTGCTTTAAGATGAAAAGAATTTACACAAATATCTACTTATTAACTGGATAAGTTATATTTTATTGAGCGCCTTCTATAATATGTTGCCTGGGTTAGGCACTAAGGGAGATAAAACCATACAATGTAGAAAAGTAGAGCTATAAAGAACCTTAAAGATTTCCTAGTTCAATCTCTCCATTTTACAGATTAAAAGCACCCCAGTTCCTAGAGAGAGAAAGTCATCTGTGCAAGGTCATACGGCCAGATGAGCAGTAAGATCATGAGCAGCCAAGTGTGCTGCTCCCTTGTCCCCTCCACCCCTCTATTCAGCATTCCCACACGCGGAGGCTGTGAAACTAACCAGGCTATGAGATGGTGATAGTCTGGATGTGCTGTCCCCGCCAGAACTCATGGTGGAAATCTGATCCCCACTGTGGCAGCACTGGAAGCTCACTGAGTCATGGGGGCGGATCCCTCATGAATGGATTAATGCTCTCCCTGGGGGAGGGGGGCCTGAATGAGTTCTCACTCTATTAGTTCCCATGACAGCTGGTTGTTTAAAAGACCCTGGCACCTCCCCTTTCTCTCTCGCTTCCTCTCGCCATGTGATCCTGTACTCGCTGGGTGTCTGCAGCTTTCCACCATGAATAGAAGCAGCCTGAGCCCCGCACCAGATGCAGCTGTCCCAGAATTGTGAGCCACATAAACCTCTGTTCTTTATACATTACCCAGCCTCAGGTATTCTGTTACAGCAACACAAAAAGGACTAGAACAGATGGGATTAAACCAAACAGACCTTGTAAGAAGATGGGACTTGATGACTGAATGGACTAAACTGAAGTAAACGCAGCAATCAAAAGAAACTTCAGTTTCTAGTTGGGGTGGTTAAAAGAATGATGGTGCCAAGGACAGAAGCAGAGCTGGATTTGGGTAGGTGGGGTAGGGTGTTTTTTGTTAATTCACGCAACAAATGTTTAGAGTTTCTACCATGTGGCAAATACTGCTGGATGCTGAGAATATAAAGGTGAATGAGACAGACTTACATCCTGCCCCCCATGATATTAGGCCTTAAATTCATAAATCCAGTTTTGTATGAGTTTGAAGGTTACCCTTTGGAAGCTGGAAATACAAGAATGGAGCTCTAGTGAGAGCGAGAGATGCTAAATTAATTAAAGACACATGTCAAAGTAAAGGAAGAAAGCTTGGGCCAGGGGCGTGCAGCTCACCCTCTGAAACAAAAGGAGGGTGCTGCAGCCCAGGACGCAGCTAGATGGCAGGCTGCTCTGAAGACGTGAAACACGTGCAGCTCGCAGTCCCACCCCTCTGCCTGCCGTACAAGAAAGAGTTTGTAATGTAAGTGCTAATATAATCTGTCCCAATTCCTATTAAGAAGGTAACTTATTCCTGAAAATTATTAAAGAAAACAAATTGTGAGATACACTAAACTAATGATCACAATATTGTACTGTCAGAATTCCACGGTTAAAAATAACAATTGAAGGGACAGTACAGGGGCAAGAATGGGGGCAAGGTTCCCTTGTGAAGTTAGGAAAAAGAAAAATAAAAAAAATGTGGGAGGAAGAAGAAAAATCATGCAAAGATACAAAAACAGAACCAGAACAGAAAAGCTCAAAGAGGAAAGCTTTTTAAGAAGGCAGAATGACAAAAAGCCACTGAACTTGGTTAGGAAAATGAAAGCCTACTGTCTGGAATTAGCTGGAAGGAAATGGGGCCCTGGGTATACACCACTTATAAGAAGATCTATAATCAAAGAGGAAAGAAAACAGAATGATAGAACAGCATCGGAACCACGTTTTTGTTGTTTTTAAGAGGAAACATATTTCTAAATACAGCTAAAAAGCACAGGAAAGAAACTGGTTGGAATTTATTAAGTGGAGATGCAAAATTTGCAGGAGCAAACTAGATAAGAGAAGAAAAATGTGAGCCATCTCTGTAAATATAAGAAAGGATGAGAAAATAAAGAGGTAAGAGAGGCACTGGAACAAGTCGGAGCCTGTAAAGGGGCACTGACAGCACGCTGTCCTGGCAGCAGCAGGACCCTGTCTTCACGTAGGCTAGCAAGTGACCTTGGCTCAGTAACTTACTTTCTAAGAGCACCAATTTCCTCATCAGTAAATGCAAATAATACCAAGTGTAAGGATTATTGTGAGGACTGAAACTAAATCTTCTGGAACCTATCAGATCCTCAATCAATTATTATCATTATGATACAACTACTATTACTAATAAATATCATTATCATTTATAATAAAAAAAAGTAAAGTCAGACTCTATGATGTGGAAAATCAGTGAAACAGAGAGAGCTAAGGAGATCAGAAAATGTATAAACAGCCATCGTGGGGAACACCCAAAACAGATCCCTTCAGCAAACACCTACTGAGTACTCATTTAGTGAGACACTGTGTAGGGACTGTGGGAGAAATTCCCAACTGCCTGGGCCTTAGAATAAACTCAAGAGGAAAACAAATAACCACAAGGCAGTGATTTGTGATCTACAAAGTAAGATTTTGGGAAGTTCAGAGGAGACTTTAAAAATCACTTCTTGCTAAAGTAAATAGAAATTGGTTAAAAAGAGACAGACACTGAATTAAAACTTTAAACTAGATTTAGGAAGGAGAAAATAATCATTCTAGGCACAGAAAAAAAAAAAAAAAGAAAAAAAGCTGGGGAAGGACAGGATGACTTAGCACAACTTAAAGGTGTTGTTACAGGACTCACACAGGGAAATGGTTTGGGACAAAGCTTGAGACAGAGGTTGGTTGGATCCAGATTGCAGAGGAATAAAGGTTTAGAGGAACTTATTTTGTTTTCTGAATAGATAATAATATGTCCACATGGTTCAAAAAGCACAAAAAGGAATTCAGGGCCGTCTACCCCATCTCTACTCTATCCCTCAAGCCCCCTGTGAAGGCAGCTCCATTACTTTTACTAATCTATGGTATAAGAAAGGCCCACTTTCCTCAATATGCATTTCCGTAATTTTGTTTTTGAAAGAATAAGTAGGTATTAGTTCTATAATAAGAAAAAAGAAGAAAACCTGGCAGAATCTGGAATTCTAAGAAGTAGAAATGTAGTACAAAATGCTGCTCAAGAGCACAGATTCTGCCTGGAGTCAGAGGAGAAGGCATGAACCCCAGACCTGGCCATCTAGGGACTTCAGCCACTTCACTGTGCCTCATTTCTTCATCTCTGAAATGGGCACAAGTGTGGCACCTCTCTCAAGAGTTGTTATGAAGATTAAATAATCACAACTAAAGTGCCTAGCAGAGTTCCAGATAGATAATGGGTACTATTCAGATAAGAGGAAAGCCATTTTAATTAATGAAAAATAAAGCTTTAAGGGTAAAGTTTTTACATCAGTGGCTTTTTACTTTTTGGGGGACATGTACTTCTCTGAAAATCAGGTGATCTTGCTCTGAATGGGCTCCTTGAAAACTACATGTACCCAATTCTGCACATGATCTCAGGGGTTCATAAATTCCCTGAAATCTTGGACGTTGGGTTAAAACCACCTAATTTACAGAACTACTACTGCTAACAATTATTGTAAACCAGATTTACAATACCTTAGAAAACATTTCATAATTAATATAAAAAAGGATTATTTCAAATTAGCTATCACTTACTGAAAATATTTATGTAAAATGAAATTTAGTGAAAATTTATTATTACAAGCCAAGTGAACTGAGTGCTTTATGTATATTATCTCATTTAGTGCTTCCACTAATCCAGAGATGCAATTATTATTACCCTCATTTTAAAATGAGGAGACTAGGGCTTAGAAAGTTTAAGTGACTTGTACTGCACTAGTAATGGAAAATGGGTTTGATCTGCAGTACATGTTTTCATCCTATAACATAATTTGTTAGTTATGCAAAAAGGACGGAATTTTTTTTTTTTTTTACTGAAACATACTTGTCTCCACTTCATAGGGTTGTTGTAAAGTTTAAGTGAGTTCATATGTGTAAAGCACTTAGCACAGGATAATTGCTAAGCTGCTATTATTATCTGATATTTTAATTAATTAATTAATGAGGTATATAATATATAACTTAAAACAATTTCCTGTATTTAGATGACCAACGTGGCCACTCATAGACTCCTCCCTACTGTTAGGCTAAAACCTGAGAAGAGGAAGAGGCTGCTGTAGTCACATGTGACCGTGGAGGCAGTGGGACAGGGGAAACACCAAGGGCTTGGAGCCAGACGAACCTGAGTTCACAGCCTGGCTCTCGGATTATTTCTTTTATAATCTTTAATATGTTTCTTCCCATTTATATCTTTTACTTCTCCCCATTCTTACTAAATTCTTGATTTTTTTTTTATTACTCAGTGATGACACACAATATTCAAATTCAAATTAGATTTTCCAAATGAAACCAATTTTCCAAATTTGGTTTACTAAGAGTAACAACCAAAATTTTTAGCCATGAGAAGGTTGAGCTGGAACAAAAAAAGGCAGAAGAAGGAAATTCATATTAAACTAAGCCTCTTAAAAAAACCCATATTGATATACTTATATATCTATCTATATCTGAATCACTACAGAATGCAGAACACAGGAAAATATTGTTCCTGCTGATGTAATTTGTGGCAATAGTATCCATTTAATAATCAAACCACGCAAATATATCCTGGCAGAAACAAGCACATGTTAAAATCCCTTTGAAAAGGAGAGTTTAAGACCTGTGTCTCTTACTTCTTGAAGCCGACGTGGTGTAGACAGGTAAGGCTCTCGCTGCTCTCCTCAAAATCTCTTGTTGTCTTTCCTGGCTGAATTCCTTCACATAACGTTCCTTTTCAGAATTGGACAAGTAGAACTATAAAAAGAGAGAACGATTAAAATGTTTTAATCCCATGATGTTAACCGTCATGTCAGAAAAAGTTTTATCTAGAACGGGAAAAAAAAACCCTCTGAAGTATTTTGCTTTATGAAGGCAAAACTTGTCCTCAAACTTCTTTAACTTTAAGAAGATAAATCAAGTACCTTTTAACAAAAACTACATACCTTTGACATTAAAAAAAAATTTTGCCCTCCATACTAATGATGGCAAAGAGCATAAACTAAATATTTTTGCATCTTTGTTTTTTACAGGTAAAATTAAATTCTTCCACCAAAAAAGGCTTAATATGTATTCTCTATTAGTAGAAATTTTGTTGTTTAAAAGTTACCATCAAGAATCTTTTAATTTTTGGAAAGATGTCCAAAGATTCACTTGCTCTGGGTAACAGGCTATACCACAGACATGGGGTCCCATTATTCTCTGACCAAATGTCTCAATGACATCAACAAGTCATTCTTTTACCATTTTTAGCTTTTAAAAAGCTAACGAATGGGGGGGGGCTACTTTCCGCAGAATTATCAAAGATTGTCAAGGCATGAGTAGTCTCCTTTTCTCAAAAGGAGACTCCTTTATAGAGCTGTTTCTGGTTTTCATTTCTTAGTATTTGTTCCCACAGTGTGGCCAGCCTCAGGCTAGTTTTCTTTTAAAAGCCTTTTCCCCACAAAGCACTTGTTTAGAGTTGCTCTTCTTTTCATATATCACCCCAGCATCTCGAGGACCCTCAGTTTTATGCCTCAATTTCATGTAACCAGGAACTTTAAGTTTCTGTCTTTATTGTACTGATTTCTTCTTCTTCTTTTTTTTAAAACTATGAATGGCTTGGGGCTTGCTCTTGACAGGTCTTGCTTTAAAAAGTCCTAAGGAAGGCCGGCCCGGTGGCGCACTGGATAGTGTGCCGCTTGGGAAGCGCGGCGGCGCTCCCACCTGAGGGTTCAGATCCCACATA